GAGAGAAGAGAGGAGAGAGGAGAGTTTTAAAATACCAAAAATATTCTTGAATTAAGATTTTAATTTAAAATTACCAAATTTATAAATTTCCTAATTTATCTATTGATTTRTGGTTAATATTGGTTCTCACAGTTATCACAAACAACTCAGTTCTCCCTTGAATAGGCCCCTATATATATATATGTATGTGTGTATAATAAATGTAAACAGATTAAAATGTTTACAACTTTAAAAAAAAAAAAAATCCAAAAAGTTAAATTATTTTACTTATAACTTTTGTAATTGTATTTAGAGTAAACTTTATTTTGGTTCCTAACGTTTGCAATTTTCAATGGTTGTTCTTCTTGAATTTTAAAATAATGTTTATTAAAGCATTTACAACTGATTCTTCAAATCTGAATCAAAAATTAAAATCTTCAGAAAATTTTACATTTAAAAACATCTCCTATAGAATCTCCAAAATGTCTTTAAAATGGGAATGAAACTTCAAAATCTCTAAAATAAAAATACATTCAATTTCAAAAGATTCTTCATTTTGAAGATTACAATACATTGAATATATTATTAAAATATTTCATTCATCTAATAAAATCTTATTTTACTTTAAAAATATTTGATTTCAAAGTTTTCAATTGGTGGAATATATTAAAAAAGTATTTTTCTCCCATCATAATCATAATCATTTTTGGGATGATGTTGTACTTTCTCTATTTTGGGGAATCTTTTCGAACAAAACACGTGCATAAAATCCTCAAGATATTTATTTTAGAGAATTTGTTAGAGATATCTTAACATTGAGTGATAATAAAATAAACCCGTATTTAAAAAAAAACAATCTTGTGCATTCTTTTATTGGTAAAACAAGACTGAATTACCAAAATAAATTAGTAATTGTGTATGTTACATAGAGAAGGGAAAAAGATATATTTTTTTGGAATTGACTTTTTTTAAAAACATTTAATAAATAATATTAATTATCTCAAACTAGTAAATTAGGATTAAGTTCTCACATAAATCTTTTGGAATTTTGAAGTTCCAACAAATTTTTATAATTTCTTTAAATAGATAACCAAATATTAAAACATCTAAATAACATATTACATTCAACTCTAAAAGATTTTTAATTAATAGATTCACATTAAATATATTATTTTATCATTTCAATATATTTTTAATTTTTATACAAAATAATAATAATAATTAAATGTAATTAATAAAACGAATAAAGAATCATTTTTCTCTTCTCATATAAAATTTCAAAAATGTCTTTATTTAATCTAAAAAATAATATAAAAAGAAGAGAACAAAACCCCCAATTTCTATATCTTCGAAGATACAATACAGATGCTCCAAAGCGACTTAACCATCGTATTCACATGTATAGATATAGGTATATATAACACAGCTTCTGAACAACTTCATTGTGTGAAACAAAACAAATTAAACCCCCACTCGCTTTCCTCCGCCGATTACTCATTCCGCCACCTTACCATGTCTTCTACTACTACTGCGCCGCCACCACCACCGGCTTCCGACGGATCCTCGAACTCGCTCGCTCGTATCATCCGTACAACCCTCTCCTACGATACAAACGTCATGCTCGCCGCTATTATCTCCCTCCTCCTCGTGATCCTCTTCGTGCTCCTCCTCCATCTCTACACTCGTTGGTTCCTGGTCCAAGCACGCCGGCGAAGCCGCACATCCGTCACTGTCCCGCACGTCTTAGGATCTAGGCTCCATCACCGTTTCACCATCATCGACACTTCCAATCCAGGGAATTCTCCCGGTAAACTCGGCCTTCCTTTCTCAATCATCTCCTCATTGCCGTTATTTGTTTACAAATTCTCATCCAACGAAGATCATGATTACGGATTGGAATGTGCAATTTGTTTGAGCGTTTTCGAGGAAGATGAGATCGGCAGGAAATTACCAGGATGCGGACATGCATTTCATGTGGAATGTATAGACATGTGGTTGCACTCTCATTCAACATGTCCGATTTGTCGAGCAGCAATCCAGTGCAATCAGAATCATAATATCGATCATTTAGAGATCGAAATCACTGATCCAGGGCAGGATTTGGACGTATCAACAATCAATAACGAAGATGTATTGCGATTGGAGATTGTAACTACAATAAGTAATGAGATCCCCGTCGAGCCTGATGAAACGGCCGATGTTGTGGCGGAAAATGACTCTGGACTAGATGCTTCATCATCGTCTTCAATTGGAGAATCGCTTAAAATGTTCCTAAACAACAGTAGCAGTTGCAGTTGCAGTTGCAGCAGCAGATCCGGAGGTAAAATTCATCCAACATCAAATCTTAATGGCGATGAATCAAAGGCTTAATATTGAAAATCCTAGTTTTTAATTTAGTAGAATTACTCATCGTAAACATTGTAGTATACCAAAAAAAATTGTATAAAAAATGTTCAGTGAACATGAGATTTTATCATCGAATCATCGAATTTAGGGATTCTTTTTTGTTGTGAAATCAAGATTTTTCGTTTAATTGAACAGATCTGCAATTGTTTTATATAGAATTGCATTGAATTTTGGGCCTCCGTCCGGTCTAAAAGTCTTTCCGCCGGCGATTTTAGGATTCCACGATTTCGGCATTGATCTTTTCAGTTCATGTTCACAATTTGTTCCGTTAATCGTGTCCCTCGTCCTAAGGATATCATCTTCAATCAATTCTTTTTCTAGATTAAATAATTAAAACAGGAATTCTGTTATTAAATTAATCTCCAATAAATTCGTGATATTTTTTACCCATTCTTTTAATTTTACAGATTTTTTGTTTTTTCTCCCTTTTTTTCACATAAGAATTTAGTATAATTATTGGAGTAATTTTTTTTAAATCTCTACAGTTTTTTAAATAACATAGCTATTAAAGATATTCTTATTGATATCTATATTAAATCTAAATTGTATTATAACCACTTGAAATAACAGCATCCGTATCTTATATTTGTTTTCTTGCAAAAGCGTCCAAAATCATCCTTATAACAAGCTTCTGCTGACAGGTTATGGTGAACATGACACTAGGCCTATTATTTCTTAGGTCATGGTGGTATCTAACAGTAACTAAATACCAACAAACAATTACAATGCAACACACAAAAAAATGTTATATCGTTATTAGGATCAAATTAAATTATGTATTGGAAATGTAAAAAGTAACTCTTAAAAGATAAAAGTATCTCCAACATATTCTTTAAAATTATGAATCAAAAGTTAAAATCTTTAAAAAAATTATATTCTTTTCCAACGGCTTCTCTATATTACAATATAAATTATATTATTAAAGTAGTTAATATCTTTTATAAAATATTTTTTTTTTCTCTCTCTCTCATATATATATATATATATATATATATATATATATATATATAGGGGCCTATTCAAGGGAGAATTGAGTTGTTTGTGGTAACTGTGAGAACCAATATTAACCACAAATCAATAGATAAATT